AAAAATATTTAAACAACCGGCCCGGGCGGTTCGGGGGCCCCCCCCCCCCCCTTGAAACAAGAAGCTAAGTATACAGTTTTGTAGAGCAGCTCAAGACGCATCGAACGGTATATAGCGAAGTTTGTTTTCATATCAGCATACAGGATCTAGACTCAATTTTCTGGTCGGCCGTCACGATAGCCATCTGAACCTATATCGATTTTAGTGCCAGTCACAAGAAGCGAAAAAAAATATTTCCAATCTATACTTGCGTAGATATCGTCTTGGACTACACGCTGATATATTCGACGTTTCTGCTCGCCTCATATTGATGGAGAAAAATGAGGCCCTTTATCGATTTGTATGGTTTATCGATTTTAATGTTTCTCAGTATTTTGAGTCGTGTGCCTCACAAGAGAAGTGAACAGAAGCCAAACTTTGCTAGAAACTGTATGCGACTTCGCTCTATAAAATGCACTATTCCAAAATTCGCGCTTCATATTCAAAACTGACTGCTGGAAAACCAAGTCCATGGTTTTTGCTCAGAAAATTTCCAAACCATATAGCCTGATAGAGGATAGAATAGTGAACACAATAAGACGTCTCCCGAATGTCTGTAATGCTATTTCACGCAGCTGCAGTCGATTTACGAACGGCTACAACGGGCGTTAAAATTACCAAAACATTACGGTGATAAAGCATTTCAGACAGCCGGGAGACGTATTTCGGATGTTAGACTATCCAGTTGCATTTTCTTAAGACTATCTTATACATCATTCGGAAGCTCGTGAAATTTTCTATCGAACGGTGTTAATATTTGGTATAGGTGAAAGAGGTGGAATAATGTAAATACTTTGAGTAAAGGTCGCTTAACGCGAGAAGAGTCTTTTCAATGAGAAGCAGTTTTGAATATGAAGCGCGAATTTTGGAATAGTGCATTTTACTACCCACTATATAAAGAGTGGGTCAGAATTTCTGAAACGAACGTTCGGTAATTCTGATCCACCCATTAGTTGATTAGACTGATTAGGATTATCGTGTATAATTACAAAAGTATGATCAGAAGCCGAAAATAAATTTTTTACGGCGACTAGCTTTTTCGCGTGACATTAGTTATAGCCTATTTATTAGTCTATAGATAGTTTGATGTACGTTTGATATTGTTTCTACACTAACTGTGGCACTATGGAAGGATGGAAGAAATTATGAAAGATATATTTTTCATTTTAAATGCTTCAGACTACCAAAACATGGGCATTGTATGTGTCATGACAACCTTATGTCTGCTGTTTTTAAAGTAAAAAGAAGCTCATGTTAATAATTTGAATAAATTCATAAATGAATAAAAGAAAAGCAATAGATGGCCCTAGGCATGCACCAGTTACAGTTAACTGTAAAACTGTAACTGTCATAACTGTGTAACTGTTATAACTGTAACTGTCATAACTGTATAACTGTAAAACTGTAACTGCTCATAACTGTAGACAAATATTCTAGAGTGAATTAGTCTTCTACGATTTGCATACATTTTAGGAACAGAAACGTCCTTAAAATGTATGCAAATCGTAGAAGACTAATTCACTCTAGAATATTTGTCTACAGTTATGACAGTTACAGTTATAACAGTTACACAGTTATGAGCAGTTACAGTTTTCACAGCTACAGTTAACTGGTAAAAACCTGTAACTGGTGCATACCTAGATGGCCCCAGATAAATGATGCAGTTTTGTTCTCTTCTTCTTATCATGAATGTAACATTTCACTCAAGACGCAAAATGTGTCGACTTGTCTAGTTTCAAAATATGTAAGAGTGACAAAAAACTAATCAAATTTTAGCCGCAATAACCAAAATATCGGAAAGTATTCCAAACTTAATCTGCACCGTTCGCAATTATTGTATATTTTCCACTTTTTCTAACAATTTTCTGCATAGGTGGAAAACTCGAAATACGTGCTAGTTTGGTTAAAATCTGCCTAAAAACACATCGACTTTAAAATGGGATTGAACAGTTTACAATTCTAGAGATGGCGCTATTTTCAGTGAATTTTGTGTTGTGAGTCCGATTACTTCAGACAGATGGCATTTTGAAAGTTTCTTTCAGTTTCAAGAGATGTAGCTTGATAAACTGTATCAGACCTGATTACTATTAATAATCTCAGTTCCAATTTTGAGTAGAAAGCATCGCAAAGCAAGGAGTCGTTGAAATTAAGTGCCAAAAGTGGAAAAAACGATGTTTTTCATTTTTGAATTTTCTAACAACTTCTTGTACGGTCGGTGATTCTGATTTGCGCTGATCAAACGTAGACTTTTGTCTAGTTTTTGAATGTCCACTCACAATCGTCCTATGATAAGTCTTGAAGGATTTAATATAGTTTTGGTCAAAGTGCACCTTTTGAACGGAATTTTTACAGTGCTTTTTACTTAGTAAGAAGAAGAGAACAAAAGTGAGCTATTCTTTATGGTCCACTTGTTAGTGAATGTTCGCGCAGTTTCATTGAATGTAGGACGAAACGAGATCTAAGCTGTTTTCTTCTCCCAGTTATTGCTCAATCCGTCTAAATCAAGTCCTTTCCATCAAGAGTCTGTGAATTTGTGAATGTTACTTGCAGATTATCTGCCTGGAGAAGTGTTGTTAATTAGCAGTAGTCTCCAATTCTATTGGGCACCCCAGACATAAGTAAATATTTTTGGAAGCCAGTTCTAAGTGACAGCGTATTGGTAGCAGCAATCAATATATGAGGATAGAAACTCTTGTTTCTGCAGATGCGGACGGGCGCTGCTATTTAATCTATGACCCTTCCTTTTAGTCTGGGAAATGGTTAAGGTAACTATAATCGACCCAAAAGCGATCGGTTAACGATGCCCTCTTGTTCCACTTGAGAATACTGCAAAGGGATTTAATATACACATGTAGCGCTATTCTATGAACAGTTGATAATGACGTCTTTAATGATCTAAAAGTGGTCTGTGTTATGTTTTTTTAGCAATATTCCAGAATTCTTGTACATCGTCCCTCGGTGGTCCAATAACATTGCTGTATATGTCAAATGCCGCTGCATTTGCTTACACATATCACTCTTTTAATTACGTAGCCACATCATATCAAGCAACACTTTCGTTAGCATTTCGTCAAGATCCAAGCTATTGGTGTGTGGATGATATTGCCGTTACGTATAGTGGCGTTAATTCATTTCAAAACGGTGGATGTAAGCGTTTAATCTACAAGTTTAGTATATGACACTCTCTGTGTGCGTGTGTTTTAGTTGAAACAGGCTCATTAGGTTCATATTATACATTTTGTAACCCTCAAACTGCATCATCATCGGGAACAGTTTCAACCGCATGTCCTCACACAGGATCTTATAGTTATTATGACGGATCTGTTACAAATCCCGATTATATAAGTCAAACATTTGCCGTTGTATCTGGTCGAACATACGTTGTCGGCTTTTGGATTCGAAACATGGGTGGACCGACAAATAGTGCTACGATCATTATTGGTACTTAGAAGACAAGAAATATTCGGAGACATCAGATTATACTACTGTGTTCAACCTATGAATGAATTTTATAATTCTAGTTAAATTTTTTGTAAATAGAAAATTACGGTCTATTCACTTTTTTTAGCAACCTGAGTTTTGTACAGCATACCCTTCTGTACAAAATGAGCTATGTATTATAGTGATAAGATTCGAAATATATTATCAGATTTTTATGATATATTCAGAAGTTGAAAATGATGTAAATTCAGTTTATAGATACACTTCTTTGATGGTCATAACAGCATGCTTATGTCATGAGACAAAGGGATCAAGAAAAAGCTAAGAGCAAAACTTGCGTAGTATAATTTTTAGTTTAAAGTTTGAATCTTTTTCTTGTAAGTCCCCCCGCTAAATTTTCTTTTTGATAGCAGTAGCATAAATAATAGCAAATCTCTCTATAAAAGATACACTGTTTTTAACTGCTGCTTAAAGTGAAACAAAATAGAGGAATTAATATCTGCAAAAAACTCACAATCACAATCAACCAGAACCCGCTGCGACAGGAAAAGATTTCACCTTAAGCGATTACGCACTCTCTCACGCTATCTCTCTTGGAAGAGAAGTGATATGTGTGAAATTGTAGCGTTCACATACGAATTACAGTACTGGAAAAAATCATAGAGCCACCATACTTTAGAAATTTTTTGATGCAGTGTGCATCAGCATTTCAGAGAAAAGGCTTTGAAGAAAGTTTTCTAGAAAACCTCTCCAGCTAAGTCCTAGAGAGCTAGAGAGTTTTACTAAAAATATGTTCAATATATTCTGAAAACAATGAAGCGTCACACACCTCGCCACGGTCTTTTGTTGCAAAGCTACAGGCATCAGAAAATCCGAAGAAATAGTATAATTTACGAAAACAACGCTAAAAATCGTCTAAAAAACAAGCAGAAGCACATTTCTGTGGATTTTCTGATGCCTGTAACTTTGCAATGAAAGATTGTGGAGAGCTGTGCGATGCTTCATTCTTTTCAGAATTTTGTGCTCTTTTAGATGGCTATATTGAAAATATTTTTAGCAAAACTCTCTAGGACTCAGAGCTCCGCTGGAGGGATTTTTCTAGAAAACTTACTTCAAAACCTTGTCTCCGGAATTTTGACGCATACTGCATTTGATGGATAACTTCAAGGACTATCCAAATCGTTATTCAGATTCCATCTAGTCACTCGGCTTCCTTGTTAAATCTCAAAAGTACAGTGACTGTATAGTTTTTTCCAGAACTGTATCAGCCTATGATAGTTAAATTTGAATTCCATTGTTTCTGAAAGGAACAACGACCTTGTCTTTCAAAGTGTTTTTAATTTTAAAGTTATTACCAAAATAGCTTTCTCCATCGTATTTTATAAATATTAACGGATAGTAGTTATTAAGACCAAGAACTTGATGAGTAGTATACCTTCCTGTAGAAGTAAGTTGTCTAAGTTGGTTTCAAGATTAAGACTATGTGGTGATGTTTATTCTGAGATATTCCGCATTGCTTTGACCAATTGTAGTCTACGATTCGAAACAGTCAACTAACAATATCCACGTAGAACCACTTTTCAAGGATGTTATCTGAAACACATATCGATGACTGCGGACAAGCATCCAGATCAGTTCAACCGCATGTTCCGAAATGGAAGACGTCTTCCACCGTCTGTTTCTGCAAATATGCGTAGTACGTGAACTTTCTCCTTTTACAAATTCTTTTGAAGCTGTGACTATCTTGAAATCATTCTGATGTCGATAGTCTTAGAAGGTCGAGGAGAAGGGTATAGCGAATATCTTCCCTGATATGCTAATTATAAGTTTCTAGACGCTCATCGTAGAATACACTCGATGGTATCATACAATATCTATGCACACCGCTTTATACAGTTAACATTTCTCTTTTATCTGTGATAGCGAGGAATTTTATTAAAAAGTAAATTATATAAATTTTAAGTCAAAACTAAAATTTATAAATTCAACAGTGATAGCTTTTCGTAAGATGTTGAATTATTTTATCTGAAAACATGATAAGTATGTATATTTAATATAACTGAAAAACATTTTTGTAAAATGATTTTACATAAAAAACGAGCTCCGATACTTCACAATATTATCAGGCTAATATTACTGTCGAATTTAGAAGAGATATAATTATATATACTCGTTTTTACATAAAATGATTTTATAAAAATGTTTTTCAATTATATTAAATATACTTAGTTTTATAAAAAACGAAAAAAAGTCAAAGAATATCAATATATGATAAGTATGCATCCAGAGACTTATTTCTGTACGTTCCTTAGTTCAGTCGTTTAGTTTGTGCCTCAACCTCATAATTCATACTTGTCAGGCGTCCTAGGTTCGATTCTTCGAGAAGCTGTTCTTTTAATCTTCCCTTTCAAAGCAGTTGGTTTTGCTTGCACAGTTTTACTTCGACGGTTTTTCTAACGGTTTTAAAACTGTTAAAGCACAATCCTCATATTGAAACCATAGGAAACAAAGTCAAGAACAACCAAAACTGTGCAGAAAAAAACATGACAAGTTGACTGTGAGAAGCCGCGTACAAAAATCGTTATGAATTTCATGGTTTTTTTTCTTCGTGTACACCATTACGGTATGCCTTTCGAAGCTAAATTAAACTACAGCAGTTTATTTCTTAGTGAAAAGTTGTACTAATTTAGTCAACTTAGTTGTGGTCTAGAAATAGAAATTATTTTGTAATGATGACAAAGTCAAGAATAGTGGTAAAGAATTTTGTATCCTACTTTACAATTAACGACTAATAGCTTAAGGATCGTTTATTTGATTAATAACTCATTATGAACAGAAATTCTAATCCATAAGACTAATGAGGGAAGGTCTTCAAATGCCCAACTTCATTTCTAATGATACTGTGGCAGTTACCAGAGGAAAGTGAGTTGATAAAAATCTTAAAAGAATTTTAAGCCCATGTTACTTTTTTCAAAAGTTATGAATGTTTTTGGAATACTGTGGGCAGAACAGTAAAAATTCTGTAACTTGGTTAAAACAAGAATTAAGAGCTGGAATCTTTTTCTGTACTTGTGCTAATAGTCTGCTAATATTACAGAAAATTTTAGCATTATCTCTTTCTAAATTCGCTAGTTATTGAATTTTTCTTCTTGAAGGAAAACAGTGCTTTTCTAAAACAAGAAAACACCCTAAAACAGCCAGGAAAAGAACATTGTATTTTATCACGAAAAAACAGAAGATTGAGTTTAGATTTGTAGCTGTTAAAGTCCATTTTTTCTAATTCTATCGTAGCTTTTTTACAAGTGTCATTTTTAGAACAACAATTCTACTTTCTGACTGACTTTTCTCGTCAGAAATGAGTAGGAATGAGTATTTTCAATTTTTTGGCGTAGTAGAGACGTGGTTGCAGCAAGTCCAATACATCAGTAGATAGTCTCTTCTTCTGCACTACATTTGATCTCCGGAGATTTGGGCCAAGTCTAAAAACAGACTTCACTAATCTATACTATCTGATACAAAACGCGACCTTTCATGTTGATGATGTTGTTTGATCAGCTCACGTTGTTCATAACACTACTTTTTTCAACTGATGAAGTACTAAAACATTATGAAAGCAATAAGATCGTCGAACAATCTAAAAACAACCATAACACAATAAAATGCATCAGACAGGTGGATAAAACCTAGCAATACCGTGTTATCTCATGATTTTTTGCTTATTACGACGGTGAACATTGTTCTCAGCATATTTCCATATGGAGTCGAAATAGATTTGGCTGAAGTTTTTTTGCAGACGAGTTGAAGAAAAATCTTTTTTGCAACTTACTTATAAGCACAAGGACATGACTAATTCGAAAATATCTCTGCTCAGGTCTTTTCCGTTACCGAGATAAGAGACATTATTTCCTAGAAACTGACTCTTATTTATTGCTTCGAAGGCAAGATTTTTTGGTGAAATTGATTACTTAGGCAGCTGTAAGTTTGTACTTAAATTATCTGGCAGTTGTAATTTTATAAAAACGTCTCCTATGGGTGGGGAAAGCGCGCAAATTTTCCAAATTTTGGACTTTTTCCAGTTTTAACCATGTCGGACTTCTGATTTTTTCACGATTTCTACCAATCAAAAAAGACTTTTCTTCAACTCCTCTGCAAAAAAACTCTAGCCAAATCCATTTCGATCATATGTCTATCAGTTTAACAGAATTCTGGCTTCTAAGCTTTTGCCGAGTATTGTGGACGATGTGATTGTAAAACCAGAAGCAATTATAATGACGATGGTATGCTCAAGGGAGACTTAGTTGTGCATAATTGAAGAGTATTTGAGATGTCGGTGATTCTCTCGATTGACTCTAAAAGAAGAATGCGACTTAGGATGAAATTAAGTCGCATTAAAGTGTCTTATTTTCTCTGAATAAAGCACATTAATACGACTTAATTCGATTCTAAGTCGCATTATTTTTAAAGTGTTGAAGGAAGTTAAAAGGTTTCAGATGTATTCATATGAAAATGACGAGGTATATCCGATGGTATGAGAAAGAATGGTGGTGCCATGAAACATCTCAACTCATTAGTTACCATTCTATTAGAAGACGCGCAGATTATTGTTTGTTCATTTTACAATTGTCTAAGTGTCCATGTCGTTTTTTCTGGTTTCAGAAGTTCGAGATGATATTATCTCTGGATATTTCTGAAGGAAATAGGAAATTGTATATATTCTAATAGAATGGTGATGTTTCATCGCACTGCCGTTCTTTCTCATGCCATCGAATATACCTGGTCATTTTCATATGAATATATCTGGAACCTTTTAACTTCCTCAAACTGAGAGAATCCTTGATATCTCAAATACTCTTCAATCATGTACAGCTACGTCTCCCTTGTGCATACCATCGTCATTATAATTCCTTCTGGTTTTACAATCATATCATCCACAATATCTACAAGAGTGGTAACATTATTTTGTCTTACGGTAAAGACGTTTGGTTACTCCTCCATACTTTTTTAAAAT